CTGCTGTCCGATTTTGTCTCAAGAACTGAAGGGATACCAACTTGCCTGTGCTTTGCTGTGGTGGAGAGGATCCCACTGGACAGCACTGGCAAGGCAAGTTTCGGGGGTGCTGTGGGCAGTGAGAGATACCAGGCTTCAGAGCAGAAATGCTGATCACAAAAAGGCCTCTGTTACGCTACACAGACTCTTTGGAGAAGAAAGAAATAACAGGAAAATGGTATCTTTGCTCCTGACACATGCTGTTTTCTGCTGTGTTGTTACTGAGTTAATATGTTGGCATTTAGAAAGCACCTGTGATGTAAAGCTGAAGAAGCACTTTTGAGCAGGGATTTTGGCTCAAACAGAAGTAGGGCATCTGCCAAGATGCTCATCTGTTGTGCTCATCTGGCTAAGCCTTTGGAAATATTTTTCTTTGCGTACCTGTCTCAGGTGTCGGAGTTCATTGTTGTATCAGGTAGTAGACTGGGGTTTAGGACTTGTATAGATAAATAGGGGACATGGCTGTTTTGATTTAAAACTGGGTTACCTATGGAAGTCTGACCAGAGTCAGAGCGTGAGTGACTTGAGGTTTACTTGAATATACAATACTTAACACAGTCCACATGCGGTTTTAGTAAGACTTTCATCTAGACTTGAGCATATTGTTACCTATCCCTAATAAGCAAATTCTTCAGTCAGAGGACCACTGTTTGGGACAAAACTTCAGGAAAATTTTCAGTGGGTGTTTAAGCACAGAGAAATTGTCTAATGTGAGGAACAGAACTGACCCAAAGCTTCATTCAAAATCCAGATCAGGTTAAGATGTAGTCCCTTCAGCAGTGGAGAAGATTTTTTTCTTTTCTATGCCTGACAAATTGTTATTCCAGCTTTGGTTTTTGACTCAACAGACGGGAAGAGGAGCCAGAGCATATGCTGAAGAGCAAGTAAATTTTATGCTAAGGACATGTATGTTGAGCTAACTGTGATAAGAGTATAGTGATTTACTTAGTCACACCTTCCAATTACAGTCCTGTTAGCTTTTTGGTTTAGGTTGTTAAATCAGTCTGTTTTGTATTAAAAAAAATGAGTCCCACTGATTCAGTGGCTTTCTTGTTGAAGAAAATGTGTGTACTTCTGTAAGTATATTTATTTCTCTAAGAGTCTTATCAAGTCAACAA